AGAGTACCGTGTCGAGGTATGTGCTGAAGTGGATGAACATTATGTATGTGCGTATGAAGCCACGTGTAAGATGGCCAGATCCGGGTGATCTAGGCAAGACAATGCCGCCAGAGTTTGCCAAGAATTTCAAGAAGTGTGTGTGCATCATCGACTGCTTCGAAGTATTCTGCTAGCGTCCCTCTGATCTGATGGTGAGAGCGCAGTCATACTCAAATTATAAATCGCACAACACGATCAAGTTCCTCATTGCCATTACACCGCAAGGTGTAATATCGTTCATCTCACAAGCCTGGGGTGGGAGGACATCGGATAAGCACATCACCGAGAATTGTGGCTTTCTGGAGAAACTCCTCCCGGGTGACCAGGTACTGGCAGATAGGGGCTTCACTGTACAAGACAGCGTGGGTCTGTACTGTGCTGAGCTTGTGATCCCACCACTCACGAGAGGGAAGAGCCAGTTGTCTCGAATTGAAATTGACAAAGCGAGACAGCTCTCCCGAGTCCGGATTCATGTTGAGCGTGTGATTGGTGTGCTACGCAACAAGTATACACTGTTGCAATCGACATTGCCGATCAACCTCCTCATGCGTGACAGCGGTGATCCAAACATTGCTGTCATTGACAAGATTGCCACTGTGTGCTGCGCGTTGTGCAAATGCTGTGAGTCAGTCGTGCCTTTGGCTTAGCAGGGATGTATCCTTAGCTCTGAGACAAAGCCAGAGCTGGATAGCTGGATGTGTATAGTAGTGCTTGCTCCATCTTCGGACAGCTAGCTGTTTCGACCCCTTGAGGGCTCATCATATTATTATTTTGCTTGTTCGCGTTGGCATCAACCTGCATAAAGCAGGTATATAGCCTTCGCTTAAGCTGCCATAAAAAAAGAAAGCTCATCCTAAGCGAGGGCTCATCATACTAACCTTTTTTGCATCAAACTTCATGTCAAAGTCCTTCATAAAATCCCCATCTCTCTCTCTCTCTCGCTCTCTCTCTCTTTCTAATTTTGTATGCTTCACCCTGACTGTCATGTATGATTTCTTCCTTTCTTGGTCTTTTAGTGATGGCTTGGACAATTCACTTGTCCAGGCGATAAGGCAGTCTCTCTCTCTCTCTGCCTCTCTCTTATCTTTGCATGCTTTACCCTGACTCACATGTACTATTTCTTTCCTTTATTGGTCATGCAGTGATAGCTTGGACAATTCATTCGTCCAGGCAATAATGCAGCCTCTCTCTCGCTCTCTTTGAGAATGCGTGAGTATGCGGTAGAGTACGCATATGCGACCAGAAGTGTGCACGTGCGTACATGCCAGAAGTGGGTGCTGTAACGGAACGCGACTCCAACTGCACAACGACCGAACCCCAACCAGGCACAACCACAGCCAATCCAGGGGAATACAGGGATACAGATAATAATTATAGCATTACCAAATTATAGTATAACGAACGTTGCAGTCCAAGAGAAATCTGAAGAAGATCGAAAGGAACTCGCCAACTACTACCTCGAGCCCGGAACATTTGCATCTCCGGAACTAACTCAGGTCCACGTGCTCATGCACGAGGTCACAGGAAAGTGCATAAGACAGTTGGACAAAGCAGCAAGTACTATGGCTGTACTAAAGAAATAAAGACGTCATATGTAGAACCAGCAGCAGAATGATCCGCACACAGCACGTACCGTAGCATACAGCTCGCAAGCATCAGCATGACTCATGAGTCAGCCACACAGCTAAGCATGCACACGCTAACTCTTGATGCAAGACACAAAGGCCAAGGGAACAAGCACCAATGCAATACAACAGAAACATGTAAGCACACCAACATGGTGAAGATAGCTGACCCAATGCTAAATAAATAACATTGTCACAGCAGCTGTAGGGACACTTAACCTCCACTACACCGTTCCCACAGCAAGCACAAGACACAACACCATCTGGGCTGGCACCAAGGTAAGGATAGTCGCTACGGACCACAAGACCACTGTCACAAAGCTGAAATGCCTTATGCTTCTTGATCACATGTACCTTGTAGGCATCCCTGGCAATTTGCTAATGTTCACATCCCCACGTTGTTGCTTTGGATGTAAACTTCATACTCTGTGGGTAGCAAATTGCCTTCACCAGTGATACAGAAGGTTGATGGGCGTCACTGTGGGAAGCGGCTTTAAACTTTGAGGCAGTGATGCGACCCGCACGGCACATAAACCACAAGTCTGACTTTGCTTGCTCGCGCGTTGCTCGTTTCATTGCCATGCACTCATCTGGTGTCACAGAAATTGTCGAGAACACTGCATCACATCGGTCAAGCAAGTCAGTGTAATTGGCTGAGACCATCGACTCCTCATACAAGTTGGACAGTGGTGCAGGAATATCAGATGGTAGCTTTGAAACATATGCATCTGCGTAAGTTGGCACGATGGACAGCAGGGCTAGCATTGCAACCTCGGACAATTTGCTGTAAAATCCATCCAGTTCTGACGTTGTTGGTGCACTGGCCGAAATAACAGGAGGAGATGTTGGGCTGGGTAAAGCAGCAGACGACTTGGATGTCTTTGACTTCTTGCTGGGGGAGGTGAAATCCATATAAGCTATTCTCTTGTAGTCAACTGACTTTATGGACGGTGGCAACCACACACATCCCTTTGATGTGCAGGCGTTGTCAGACACAAATTTAGTGTGCGATTCCAAGCCAAACAATAAAGCAGCGATGTGGGCGCATGCTTCACCCAGCCCCGCTTTGCAGGTGCAGTGGGCGCAAATAATAGTGCCATTGTGTTCTGCAGCTATCCACGGTGTGAGAGGGTCGCTGCTGACTGACTGGGAGTGCTTTGCTTTCACAACTCTCTTTTCATGATCTGATGTCGCCTCGTACGCACTCACATCTCCCAGTCACCCTGCCACCAAGAACTTGTGACCGTGGAGACTTTTATATGCCTTCAGTTCTTCCTTCGTTACCGGGCTAGGGGCTGTAATTAAGTAGTTGTACAAATCCGGATATTCGACTAGAGGAAGCAAGTCTGACAAATGATCGCCTTGATGGCCACTGATGCAGTACGGGTCTTTCGCTCCCTTCGCGATCAAATTTAGCTTCTCGTCGTACCTTTTCTTTGCAGCCTCATCCAACTTCTTGTACTCTGATGAAAACTCCACTACCTCGCTTTGCTCGCCACTAGTGGTGAAACGAATATTCGAATATTCGAACATTCGTTCGATTGATCACATTCGAATATTCTTTAAGTCGCATTCGAGTATTCGTGACGTCACTTCGAATGCAGTGCACGTTCATACGTGCACGCCAAACACAGTACAGTGCAGTGCGTACAGCCTGCCTGTGACTTTGTACTGCATGTTTGCACATGTATGTGCATACTGTACTGCCAATGTAGCAAACAACATGTATAAACTTCGAAGTAGCCTTATGTGGCAGTGCATTTTATGTGGCACTACTGTTTGTCATACCTAATAACAATGACAACACCCATCAAATGACTGAGAGGAGGTCATGTGATGTCATCTGTGTTACCAAAAGAATATTCGTTCGTTCGTTCGTTAAGCCAAAGAATATTCGACTACTAGGTTTTGACATTCGTTTCACCACTACTCGCCACCCATTACTAACTGCTGCCTTCTTCTTCTCGTCTTGAATCTCTTCCGCCCAAACTCAGTGGTTTGACCGTTTGTACTTACAAACTCAAAACTCTCAGCTGCTCTCTTTTGCCACTCAGTGACTCTGCAGCCCCCTTGGCCGCGCGATCCGTGACGTTATTGGATATGGTCTATACGTAGATAATATTGAGAAATACCAGGTTTTTCTCAACAATCTGCTATATGCAGTCATGAGATCCAACCCTGGTCGTGTCTGAAATGCGTAGATCTACTGTTGGAGGGCATGGTACCATGGACATGTGGTCGTACATGACTTTGTAAACAAGTAAAACTTTAAGAGAGCATGTCTGAGAAAACCAGAACATTTGTGCAAGTCGATCTCTCAGATTTCGCTAAAGTTTTGCTGGTAGGTTTGCTTTGGGGTGTAGATCGACATTCCAAAGCCCGCGCCAAATATTTTGAAGGGAACCATGAAATTGGCATTCCCCTCAATATTGGCCCTATATCGGCACGATTTATGGGTCTACAAACGAGCCACGGCACAGCGTACAAGACCAAGCTACGAGTAAAACTCCATCAAGCCATTATTTCCTCACCTTAGAAGAGTTCTTAAAGCAGCACCACTTAGCCACGCCAGCATCCCAGAAGACGAGGGCAATCATCTCTTGACGCCACAAATGATCGCCTAGAAAATAGCCAAATTACAAGCACTGATAAAACAGTCAGCTACGTCCTCAATTAGCAAACACTATACACCGGCATAGTAGAACACCTCTTCTAGCACTGAGGACATGTCCTTCATCGTCCTTTTTGGGTTTTATTGAAATAAACAATTTTGAATTTTTCCACCCGACCATGCAGAAATACGTCCAAACTCATACCTGCGTAGGAAAGCTCACCCCTCCGCGATGTCTAGTCAGCAATTTCTACTCCAACAGCACTTACATTACTAGCACAGTCTCCAATACTAGCGCACTTTGAGCATCTTTCGAAACATTATAAGCACAGTCTCTGTTGTTAGCACGGTCTTGGTGGAAATCAATTCTGCATGAATGATATCTAGCATGTATTTCTTCTTGCTCTGTATGGATGTATTGGTTTAAAAAAAATAGAAGTACGGTCTCCAATATAAGCGTGGTCTCCAATATAAGCACGGGGTAGAGGGGTGTTGAAAAAATATAAGCACGGTCTCCGATATAAGCACGGTCTCCGATATAAGCACGGTCTCCAATATAAGCGCGGTCTCCAATATAAGCACGGGGTAGAGAGGTGTTGAAAAATATAAGCACAGCGCTTATAATAGAGAATATACGGTAATCACAAACCCCCCGTACAGTCCAGCTTATCCCTCTACTCATTTCATTACACTGTTCTGGCTTTTATTTAGCTGTTTGTAATCTACCAACAATACTAAATGGAAATGTCACGGGTTTGAAACTATATGATGATAACCAAGATGATTTGTTTAGTCTGTATAACGTAACTTGTGATGACGGATACCATTTGACCAATAGCAACTACGAGGGAAGATGCCTGAATCCTCCACTGTTTACATCACCCCCAAACTGTGAAGGTAATGTTTTCACTTTCTGCGTGTGTGTGTGTGTATGTGTGTGTGTGTGTGTGTGTGTGTGTGTGTGTATGTATGTATGTGTGTGTGCGTGTGCGTGTGTGTGTGTGTGTGTGTGTGTGTGTGTATGTATGTATGTGTGTGTGCATGTGCGTGTGTGTGTGTGTATGTATGTGTGTGTGTTTATGTGTGTGTGTGCGTGTGTGCATACATGTGTATGTGTGCACGTCTGAGTATGTGACCATGTGAGTTTGTTGATCAAAATTGTATAAGGTTCTTTTCAGTAACTCATCACTTACTATGCGTGAGCGTGGTTGAGAATGATAATTGAGTAAAATCCCAGAATTTAATAGGAGAGCCAAGTGAATGTGAGGAGTTTTTCAGGTTGTGAAGCAGAACAGAGCAAGGATATCTTGGTAAGAAGTAGTAAAGCCTCCATGTTAACCCTTTCGCAGCAGACCTAGTTTCCCCCGGCCGGCTAAGTTTTCAGCGCACTTGCCTTCATTTCAGACAATGCATGCACGTCGCCGATCAAAATCTTTCGCCATGTTTGCATCTTTTGATGTATTTCCACGATCTATGGCTTGTTGGAAAGGCCTGAGCCAAGCGAAGACTCTCTGGCAGTTCTCAGCTCCATAGGCATGCCAGCGTCTTTTCTATGTTCTCTAGAAGAAGCCCTTACATGTCTCATAATCGCCATATCTCTCAAACTAAACCAAACTTCACGATTCAAACTGCGCTGCAAAGCTGAGATCCAACCGATTTGTTTGATGCCCCACGCGCATGCGCCATAGCAAAGGGAAATCTCCTAAAAAAAGCGAGTCGGGAGCAAAAGGTTTGAACTGATGGTCAGAAAGCGTATTTTTGCAATTCTATTCGTCATCGCTCACTCAGATCTAGTCTATCGCAACGATATCACTGGAAAGCTGAGCTCAATACCTTCCCAACGGTATAATTATCGTTTGTGAGAATCGCCCGGCGTTGACTTGAGTTACGACAGTTTGTACAGTGACATGCACTTCGTACTATTGCGTGCGCAGTGGAGCGAGATATCTCGTCATCTGCCGTTCAGGCACACCGTGCAGAACGAGATATCTTGTCATTAGCACTGAAAGGTTAACGCCCCATGGTCAATAGCTTTCATGGAAAATATAAACTATTTATAACCATGAGAAGATCGAAAGCTGCAGCAGCAACAAGAAAAATAGTGAGATGTTTTATTCCTTTAAGGTTTAGAGAAGACACTTCAGACATACAGTTTGTATCGCCTATAGCGTACCCTTTTGATTTGCGTGATTTTATCACGATAACCGATGCATCACTATATGCGATACAATCTTTTTTTCCTTCTTTTTTCGATCGACACATGAAAGGCAAGGAAATACTTCCAGCATGGCGTTTTGACAAATGAGCATGCTGCATAGTGGGCAGTGCCCGCATTTCTATAAAAAAAACTGTTATGTTCATGCATATGTATCACTATAAAAATAAGCAAATTGAAGAAAATAAGAAGGACAAAATGACTATTGTTACGAGTTAGGATTAACTGTCCACCAACGTAACCAGATCTTATACAGTCAGCGAGTGCGACAAAATGGCACAAAAGACAAAACTGACAAGGAGTATTGAGACATTCGGCGACCTGACACCTAGCTCCAACACTTCTCCAAGGCGCAAACCAACAACCTTCCAACTTGGAAGGTTCAGGTTCGGAAAGGTCCAAGAGGGGAACATGACTTGTAACATTTTTTCCTTCTTCTTTTCACAATTATTTAATTGGCGAGTCCGAGTTACAACTTGAAGAAAGTAAAAAAACAGGGCCTTTGATATTATTCGAAACTAGGATGTTGAACTATAAATAAATGTAGAAAGGAAAAGGACTTGCCTTCCCCTCTTTGGTCTTTCCGTAACCTTTCACCTTCCAAGTTGGAGGGCTGTCGGTTAGCGATACAGAGATGTGTTGAAGCTATGTGTCAGGACGTCCTCAGTACTCTTGTCAGTTTTGTGCCGAGTTGTTGCACTTTCTGACTGTATATAGTATCCAGTTACAGTGATGGGGAGTTACTCTTAACTCGTATCCATAATTATGTCCTTTTCCTTTCTACATTTAATATTGGTCATAGTGATATTTTTACTGGATAAAATACGTTTTGCTTTTGATATTTCGTACCAATATCCCTGTAGCCGATATATTCTTTTATCACTCTTCTATACCAACCTCCACTAATTCTTGTGATCCTTGACAGGTCATGGCAAAGGAATCGTGATAAATAGGATATTGACCTCGACGTCGGTCTATATGGCAAATAAAGACCTCGTGTTGGTCAATATCCTATACATATCCGGTCACTCTATAGCCGATACAGACTGTATACTTGGTTCAAGTAGTGACAGTAATTTGAAATTCTTTCCTGATAGCATGCTGTGTCAGCATGTGTATATTTCCTGCTTGTTTCACTGCCTGTCGACCTAATCACTAACACCCTGACAATTTCATTGTGTACACAGCAATCACTCACCATCTATTTTTTTGAGTTAATTCTGCTTTCCATTCCTGATAGGCTATAAGTATGTTAGTGGTCCCAGTCCTGTACTCATTCAATGTGATCAATTAAAGCCGATAAGTAACTTGTGTTAGTGTTTCCTAAATAAAATGAAGCGTGTTACAGAATATTTCTATGCATACTTGTTATCTGTTGTACTCCAGCATATTGTCCGTTGCCGAATATATCAAATTCAAATGTGAACTCCACAAGAACTAACAACAATGGTGATGTCATTGAATATACAGTTACCTGTAACCATGGATACGAAATAAGCAATCAACACTATGATACTGTGTGTCGTGATCCTTCTGGCTTTACATCACCCCCGAGCTGTATAGGTAAGTTGGCATCCATTTGGGCTGCGTTCGTTTTAGCTACCTGGTAGAGTAGAGTAGAGTCACTCTACCGATAGAGGTAGATGGTAGAGGTAAGTGCACAAACGGAAAGAAATGAAGAGAGATCCACCAGACTGAAGGAAGAGACATGGAGGATTTTTGTTTAGGTGTGGCTACTGTGCTGGTCATACACGAGGAGAGCTGGCTTGCGGAAAATACTTCCCAGTCGCCTCCTCCAAACCTTGTCCATGCATTGTTTCATTAGGTCACTAGTCATGCAGCCACCTTTCGAGACTGCCACAGGACACTCTTTCGGGAAATCTCCTTTCGGTACATTCTTCAGATTCCGAAAGATGAGCATCAGGATAAATTTGGTACCATTGCCAAAGTGGTAATTACCACAGGAAACCGAAGCTTCTCAAAGCCGGCATTGCGCATGCAAACTGTTTTGACACCCTGCAAATTGTGGGTTTCATTAAGCAAGCCAAACCAAACTGGAGACTCGTCCATGTTTCCAAACTACTGTTTGACCATCGTACAGGTCTCTCAGCAGCTCTCTGGCCTTCGACGTTATTGCTTTCACATGAACACCAATCCCCTCTTCACACTGGGAAGTGATCCACTCAACTAGGTATTCCTCCATGTCAGGCAACTTAAGGGAGTTATTGTATTGCACACGGCGCCGACGACGGATCACATCGCCATGTTTCCTTTCTCTACGATTGTGGACGAGGAGATCTTCATGCTGACCTTGCCATGCTCGAAGCATCGACCTAGAAATGTTGAAGTCCGGCGCCACGGCGCTGACAGAGCTCTCCTCAAGGCCAGCTACAGCACGAAGTTTCCGCGAAATAGAATAGCTCTTCCTTGACTTAGGCATGAACTTGAAGAAACAAACCCAGGTTGAAGACCCTTGGAAAATTTAAAGTACATGGATGCTCGATATGAACGGAGAACGGCACCGTACGAGGACGGCACCGTACGAGTACTCGAAGTTCATACTCTGCCGATTTGTTTGCATGTATGCGTCTCTCACTTTTAGCTCCATGGTGTTAGAACCGAGGCGATTTTCTCCAACCATTTGGCCCAAAACAGCGAAGTTTCACCTATAACGCCATGGCTTTATATGCGCGGAAATGCGGTAGTAAATATAAAAGGATCAAGAATCTAAAAGTTCACTCTGCCATATCCTTATTTGTGCATTCTATTACAACACGGACTATTGCATCGCTTGTCTGGTTTTTACAGCTGTTTGTATGCTACCCAACATACTTCATGGCTCTACTAATGGCACAGGCCTGACTTCTACTTCTACAAGTTTCATCACCTATACAATACAATGTGGTAATGGTTACAAATTGATGAATAGCAGCTATGGTAACGTGTGCTCACGTCCTCCCTCTTTTCCGTTTCCCCCAAGATGTGTAGGTAAGGTTTTTTATCATTGCTCCTGAGCGAACTGTTAGTGATTTCGGTTGAGATGCCTTAGGTGTGTCCGATACTGTGTCAGCGCTGTCCAATAGATGCTTTGCCCAATAAGTGCTCGAAAAGTTGAGAGGGCACGCGATTGATGCGCCCACGCTTAGCTTGTCAAGTGCACGGGATGTGCAAAGTACACGGATTTTAGGTCGCGTGCTTATGTGATCAGGTGCTGCATGTGCATGAATGGGATGCATGCAATTCCACCGTTACTAGTTTTAGCACTTCCTTCGGCGTTGAGATTACTGCAAAACTAAAGCTGTAAAGCTGTAAATTTGGATAGAAGAAACGGTTTTGCTTGCTTTATCGTGGCTGGAGTTTTCGATGTATTGTGTTCGGATGCCGACCAACCACGATCATTGCTGTATTCAGGATGTACTGGTGACCGGCGTTACCCCCCCCCCCCCCCACACACACACACGCACACACACTCAGGTAGAATAAGGACACTTTTCTGGTGCCGCTGTACTTCAAGATCAGCGCTGCAACTCGCCATGGTGATAATGCGGCTGACTTCATGTTACCAAGGAACACATGGCATTTGGCCGTGTTCGCCGCACTCGAGCGCTCAGCTTTTTTTCAAAATCTTGTTTTGAAAAATACTTCCAGTATTTTGCAGCACTTGGAGGCCATGAGGCCAGCCACATGTATATCGCGATCTGTACGAGTATCTTTATCATGGCCATTGCCTTGTGTCGTTTTGAGCTCGAATAGATTTCTCTGATGAAGGATTCAAATCTCATGATGTTCTCTTTTATCGTGAGCATGAAGCTCCCCACTTGCAGGTGGATGACAACGGACGGAATAAATGTGTTGAGTCGCGAGCAGGAGTTCTAGTTGGGCAATACTCCACGGACACATCTAGCTCGAAGCGCAAAGTCGATTGAGAAACATGACCAAGATCTCAAAGAAGGCTTGTTTGCTTCCACAAAATGTTTTAGTACTAGCCGAGTCCATGCACTGAAAACTGCACTTGTTTCTGTACATAAAGACAGAGTCAGTACATCAGTACAGAGTGCACTTGCATTGCAAGTCGCAACGACACCAGCACGTACAGACTCAGTTGTGGTCAGCGGTCGCGCGTGGGAGTCAAGTGCCCTACTCAAGTGCATACATGCTCGGCTGCTCACGTGCATGCGTCAATGTATAGGCCAGCCAATAAAGGGTTAAGATATCTACAACTATGTGAGAGAGACACCAAAAAGTTAGGGTGCCAGTTTCCAATGAATGTCGGCTATTTTGAAACAGCAATGACAGCTTCATCCACAAACGCGGAGCTTGGGGAATGTCTTTGGCGAATGAGAGCTGTTGCATTGGCTAGCCTTACATCCCAGCAAGCGGGGATGTGCTGGATATCGATACTAAACACCCGTTAATCGCAGTGGTTAGTCTCAGCAGACCCCGAGGTACGACAGCTTTCTATACTAAATGTGTCCAGTGCGTATGGTGAATCAAGTCGACACTGGTTTCCTGCGAAATGTTGTTATCTATGTACAATGTCCACCAGTATCCTTGATCTAGGGCCCGAAGGCTATCCAATTCACAAAGATTTGTGGCTTCACCATATTTCGTTTTCTCCGCGTTTAAGGTTGAAATCTGAACATAAAATGTAGGGTGTCTACAGAGCTGCTGGAAGTTTTTGAATCAAACATCAGCAAAAACCACGTGCCACACGCATTCCCCTTCTAGGTTTGGCCTGGTTCCATGGTTGACATGGTGAGTGTATCATTCACGGAAGGCAGTATCCCAGGTTTGATTCTTGGTGGGGTGGAAATAGCTTTGCAGTATCCCAGGTTTGATTCTTGGTGGGGTGGAAATAGCTTTGCCTCTATAGGCTGTTTACTTCCCTGACCTATCGTTTGGAAGTTTCTCCATTTATCTTCACTCTTACTTGAAAACTGCTCAACTCAGGGCGAGCGAGAGATAGCCAGCATTTCGGTTCTACATTGCCCCAAAGATGTTTAACAGAGCTTGTTGAAATTACTATTGACCTGTAGTACAAGCACATCGGTTTCCTCATGTTCTCTCTCTTTAGCTCCCTTGTATTATTATTATTATTATTATTTGAAACTCGGATGTTGAGCCATAAATATATGTGGAAGAGAAAAAGACATATGGATACGAGTTAAGAGTAACTCTCCATCACTGTAACATGATACTATATACAGTCAGAAAGTGCAATAACTAGGCACAAAACTGTTATTGCACTTTCTGACTGTATATAGTATCATGTTACAGTGATGGAGAGTTACTCTTAACTCGTATCCATATGTCTTTTTCTCTTCCACATTATTATTATTATTATTATTATTTGAAACTCGGATGTTGAGCCATGAATAAATTTAGAAAGGAACAACTCGTACCCATATGTCCTTTTCCTTTCTAAAATTTTTATTATTGTTGTTATTACTTCCATGTACACGTTGGAGTCAACCATGCCAGCATAATTCACAACTTCGCTTATGCTGAACATGATAAACAGGACTATGACAGGGGGAAAATTGCGCTACATAGATGATATAATTATGATAATTATATCATGTACAATGTAGCTCATGGGTGTTGAAGATGTGTTATTTATGAATATGTATATGAGGAGGCATGGGCAGCAAAAACCAAGGTTAGGTGATATTTGGCGAAAATGAGTTTTGATGGCTTTGAACTGCCCACTAAATGAGTGATCTATGAGCCAAATTTTGGAGCTCTGGGCACCTTCCAAGATGGTAAAAAGAACTACCGAAATGATGGGTGACGGTCAATAAAAAAGATCACCAAAAAAGGCAAAATGGAACGCAGTTACAGCTAGCTCTAATGGAGTGGTTGAGAACAATTTAGCATATTTATTGGTCTTCAGGGAAGCACAGAGTACTCTTGTTGATATTATAGTAACATTGCTGCCTGCCATTGCTGCAATGTTACTTGAAAACTCAATCCCTGTCATGTGCAGGTCTGGTGTTGTACGCAGACTTGTCAGAAAGAAAGAAACCAAGCAACTGACGTTTTACATGGCTGGGAAGAATCTGCAACTAATTACTTAGTACAAGACTAGATATGCATTCTGGACCAAGCCAGATACATCCACCAAGCATGTCTTGCTCTCCTACGTATACTTGCTAGAATTTTATTCACAAAATATCAAGTAAGGTTTAGTTCATTCAGGGCTGTCTCCGTATCTCACCAACTTATCCAGCTGCGAATAGTCGCCACGGAGTACTGAATCTCGTTCGTCACTCTCAGCGCTGCTGTCCGCGTCGCCACTTCGTGTCACGGAGCTCTCAAACTCATCGTCTGCGCTGCCTCCGCTGATGGCTTGTCATCTGAGCGAAACCTCTTCACTTTCACCTGATTCTCCTTGTGGGGACTATCACAGGCAGCTGAGAATCTGTAATGGGATCATCCCGCCAAGAAATTATTTGTTCCGCTCTCTTCTGAGGGCATGATTTGCAGACGCTACCCAGAGCGCAAACGCCTCCATGGTGGCTGAAAACGCCTACCTGGACGTCCAAAGTGCTTGTCGAATAAACTACAACTGCGATGACGACAAATTATAGTGAAGCCACCAAGAGGAAAGCACTTTCAATGCGATAGCACAAGAAGGCTTTCCGCTTTGATCGTTGTGACTAAAAAACGATATCGGTTCGGTTTCTCTGAAATATTGACATTTTGAAAAATCGCCAGGACCTTCTTGCTGCCGATGCCTCATATAATTATGTCATTTATGAAAATTGCAGCCTAAGTGATACTAATAGTGCTATTTCCTGAGTTTGACTGTTTCAGGATCTGTCGGAATATCACGATGCACAGATCTTCATACATAGATCTCGCAATGTGGGTCGATCATGGGAAATGGCTCGCAGGCTCTGGAGAGGTCTAGGTCTAGGACCTCCCGCCATAATAACTACAGCCGCGAACCACGTAGTGGAAAGCTGCACAAGATGGGCAACCCATTTTCACATGTACAGACAATTTGCGCAAAGGTTCAGGGAGAAGACATTACTTGCACGACACATTGGCAGAACAAACGAGGCAGACTCGAACATTCCAAGATTCTGCAGCCGTTGCGTTGCAGGTGTTGGGAGGCAGCTCCGTTACTGAGGCCGTTGTACAAGTCGTCGAGCTCGGCTAGCCGCCGCCAATTAGTCAGCGCAACCTCGGCCATGCGCTCGCATTAGCTCCATGCCCGCGTTTACAGAGCTCCGGGTGACCAACAAGCCGAACAGCTGCAAGTCGCGACTCTCTTGTATGCTGTAATTGATAGGACTTACCGGGTGTTAGCGGTCGTCGTGAGTGCCCTTCGGGAGTGGACGCAATAATTCAATTTTTTTAAACTATATTATTTTCACTTATCTTTCTCAGACCAAAATGAATGCCTAGATGGTACACACACTTGCAGTTCTGATGCCACATGCAACAACTCAATTGGATCATATCAATGCATGTGTAGATCTGCGGGGTACGCATTTGATGGTATATCTTGCACAGGTAAGCTAAAAACGGTTGCCACAAGAATGTTAGTTTCGCCTTTTCCAACTACTTCAGAATGTTACAGTCAAAGACAAGGACTTGTATTCCTTTCTTTAGTTTCTTTATTTAATCCTCTCACTACCAGCTACTTTACATGCAGTGAACTGCGCCGACACCCACGGTCAACTGGGTACTCACTACTCGGAGTGAGGGTAACATGGATGCAGCTAACGAGGTTAGCCCCCTTGTGGGGCATTGGTTGTGAGACTTACCACCTCACCCTCGCTGTTAGGCGCTGCATCTGCCACCCTCGTAGCACAGGCGTGGTGGTGGCCTGGCACATGCGAAACTTCCTAAGCTGGTGGTGTTTCTCAACGTAATTGCAGTGCTGCCAAATAATTTTCACCCAAAATCGGACACCCTTCACCGCCAAGGCTGGCCACATGGTGCGAATTTTTCTCCTCGGCATTTTTTTTTACAGAGAAATACAATAGCGCCTAAAACACCATGAAAATTTGCTTCGTTGCCATGGTAACCCCGGAGTTGTCATGAATTTTGTAATGATGAGTGTGGTCCCACACTGACTCTGTACAGACTGTCAGTGTCAGCGTACATGCCATCCAGCCTGATCCAGGCATGTTACTTTGCACTTCCACAGCCAAGCGCTAGCGCCTTTTTAGAAGCAAATGTACAGTGATTTGTGCCTTCAGTTGCGCTGAAAAGTGAAAGTACAGGACTTCTGCATAGGAAAGCAATGATCTCCGACATTTTGGCTGCTTTTCTGAAGTTTCCCTTTTCGGACCGGTTTTCGGAAGAGCCTTCAAAAATTGGACACTCCGAAAAATCGGGCGGTTTGGCAGCACTGCAATTGTATAGCCGGTGGTAACGCGGACGTGCAAACTTTACTTATTTTTTTCACTACCAGCTATAGACCTTATTCGATAACGTGATTTTTGGACTCGCCTCCAGGGATTTGTCATAAGCTACGGCACGCGTACGAGAAACGAGTGGCAAGAAAGGCCCAGTTCGTACAAAAGAGTAGTAAAATACCGGTATTTATCTACTCCTATGTTCGCACACAGAGTCCACTGTGCACTGAGCGCAGATCTCTTGCCACTCCCTGGTTCCCGGGACCCCGGTTCACGTGATTGTGACGTTTATCGAATAAGGTCTATTCAAATATCGATCCACGTGGATCGGTGCAATACCATAGAATCCCGTGGATAAGCCCATGGGCTTATCTGTTTCACAAGGACATTTCGGTGGGCTTATACGAGAACATGGGCTTATATGCGGGCACGGGCTTATACGCCGACACCAACTTTTGCTATTGAAAAGTATCAAGGAAGTGAGAAGTACATTGCTGAAAATCACTGTGCAAACAAAATAACCGATGATTTTGCCTAAGCCTGGATTCTGGGCCATATGCTCAAGCGCAGAGCTCTGCCGGAGACTACAGTCCATTCATTGGAAACTGGCACCCTAACTTTTTGGTGTCTCTCTCACATAGTTGTAGATATCGTGAAAACAAACGTACATCCTGCATTGTGTGACCCGTGCAATTACTCCTTGCCACATTTGAGGCCAGAAAAGTCCAAGAACAAGGAAATATAAATTCAGCCAGGTTTTACCAAATTAGGACAGGTATGCCATGGCAAAATGTATGGAGAAGCAGATCCGAAACCCAGATTTTTGAGATTTTAAGTGGGTTTTTGATCCTCAATTCGGCCCAAATCCGACTTTCAAAAGCCAGCGGGCCAGTTTCCGATGAATAGACTGTAGTCTTTTTCTCTTTCTTTGCTCACCTATTGCTTATCACTTCTTTTACAGATTTGGTATTATGGAAAGTTTGGAAACCCCGTCGATAGGCGAAAGCTTTTGGGGAATCCTTAAACAATAAAAATTACAAATTACAAATTACAAATTGCAGCCTCTAGACCATCACGTTTCGTACTTTCTACAGTGCATCCATGACACACGAGTACTTTCGTTGCAGATGTTGATCTGTCTCGAGAATGACGATATGTGACACTGAAGAGCAGCACCCGTAGAGTGAAGACTGTTCTTCAGACATAACTCATCAAACAATCGCAGCCAGTACTGAGCAGGCATGCGAGTGTTCTTGGGAACACCCTCAGCTATTAGCGTTGTCAGGTCATCGTAGCTGATACACCCGAAAACATGCTTCTGAGGAGCTCGTCACTCCTTGTTCTAGAAAACAAGAAGCACGAAGACATTAACCAAACCCAGGAGAGACACAGAAGGAATGAGTACTTAGCAGCTAGTGTGCCCAGTTTTGCTTTCAGTTTTGGCGCGCATGCAAACCGGGCGTGTTTCTAAGCAACAAGACACACACAGCGTGTTCTCCAAGGTCGTCACTCCCCAAATTTCTGAGTTCTACTACTTTCGGAGGTGAAACTTTGCAGACCTCTGCTGCGTAACTGGAAACCCGCTCACCTTTTTCACAGGGGTGCAATGTGAGCTCCTCTTGGAATGCACTTTTTGCACTGCTCCTTGCTGAAAGCAGAAGCGGAAATGCGGTAGTAAATATAAAAGTATCAAGAAACTACAAGTTCCATATCCGTATTTGTGCATTCTATTACAACACGGACTATTGCATCGCTTGTCTGGTTTATACAGCTGTTTGTATGCTACCCAACATACTTCATAGTCCATCGGCCAAGTCTCCAAATCGAAAGTGGTGATGCACTGAGCTTCCAACTAAACACGACCATACCCAGCACGTAGAGAATATATCAGAGAACACTATTCCGTTTGTTGGACGTGCCGAATTCAGTCCAGGGCGTCGTTACGAAGCGTTCTTTGTCGCCGAGTTTTTTCCTGTGCGCTCCATTTGAGAGTGCGCAGAGTTCTGATCGAGAGTTTTTTGAGCAGATTTTCAAATTTTTGAGGCTGTCAGCTGACAGCTGTCAACGCTAAATGGCACTTAGTATGTGACAGGCAATAGGTTTCGGTGCCTCCGTATGCCTTCTATCTTCCTCCGTTTCACTTCGCTGCTTGGCCCACCACCTCAGGAGATGACAGCGTACCTGCACTAGTCGGCTCTCGCTAACCCTGTCTCTTTTTCTCCGTCTTAGCGCTCGTCATTCGTGTCCTTCTGCTGGGGCGAGCTTGATACTGTTGTGTCGTAGTTTTTAGTCAATAGTGGCTGTTGTTCACGTGACGATCAGGATTTACGGAGAAAGACGACGACTCGCCACATTCCCATGCAGCCACAGACGGCGTAGCAATTCTTACCGCCAACCCTTTGAGCAACGGAACCGGCCTTGTTGGAAATCGTGTCTGTGTAATTGTGCCACGATACGGATGAAACACACAGGCTCACATGTGACGAGATGAAGATAATCTCAACAGGCTGATGGAAATCCAACAGGCTCACGGGAACGCTGCAGTTGTGGTCGGAGACGCGGAGTCATTTAGTCACTGGTAAATGTTGCATCGAGTGCTGTGTGCTCTAACACAATTGTAAAAATCATGAAAAAGCGAAAATAATGCAATAGTGGAGCTGAGTGGTGTTCTGTGGAGGAGACGTCGCTGTCTCAGTATTCAAAGCCGGACCCTGTATTTCAAGTCTGTGGTCATGCTCGATCATAAGTTCCTGTGTGGCTCCAGTGCCTTCTCAGCATTGTTGGCGGATAAGCACCTGGATCGTGTCCAAGTACAGTCAACTTCGCTTATAACGACACTCGGTGGGGTGTCAAAAAGGTGTCCTTATTCGCGAAGTGTCGTTATACCCGAAGTCTCATTATGTATTACAGTTGGATGTGACTTTGCTCTGGGCATGGAAATTCTGTCGTTATTCGCGAATTGTCGTTATATCCGCAGTCGTTATTAGCGAAGTTGACTGTACTGCGGCTCTGGTGGCTTGAGGGATGTACGGGTGCTCGCCGTGCGCCCCTGCCGGCAATCTGCTAGTGAAGCTTGGTACCTACTGTGTCAGGGAGATTTTCATCCAGAAGCTGATCTTCCTAGGCTGGAGCTGCTGCTACTCCTGTGCTAGCCCTCAACCACTGGCGCTCCTACTCGGCTCCAGTGTGGGCCATCACCCACCCTGCCCGATTTCGCACTGTTGCTATTCCACACCGTCAGCATTTAACTCTGAAGTCAGACCTTGATCCCTCCCACCATATGCTATCTGTCTGTCCGTCTCTCTCTCACACACAGATGTGCGCGCATACACACAAACGCACATGCAGACACTTGCCCATGCACACACAGTGACACAAACATACACATAGCCAACTTCTCTGTGTTTGGTGATCATCATCTGTTTTCTGATGTGCAAGCTCACCTCTATGCCGATTACTTCCTTGCTTAGACCCGGTCTGCTATTAGACCAGTCTGCTCTCCCTTCGCTCGCTTGTAAATCCTACTTGGAGCAGTAAGGTTTTGTCACTGCTCCTACTGATGTCATTGTTAAGAAAGCGATATCATCGCCACTGGTGGTAATTTTCCACCATGCACGAATCATTAACAATCATCATCTATGTGTCACGGCCCAACCATCCTCGTACCTCCCCTCATTGTGACTAGTGCTGTACCGTTGAAACCTACTTTGCTTCCGTGTATATTCGCTCCAAAGCTCTTGTTTTGTTGCATAGTGATCTGACGCAGTGTGCTATAGCCTATCGGGTAATACGGATAAGATTAGTACAGTCGGCATTGCCTATCGAGTAACCAGGTACATGTATAAGGATACTAGTACATGTATACCGGCTTAACGATATCGGAACACAAATAACACCATGTGTGCAATATTCCTTTATAAGCTCACGCTGTGCGGTGCGGATAGGTCATGCGTCGTTGCCAACTTGCCGCACATGCATTTGCAGCAGGAAGGCACCACATGTCGATTACTACTTATACTGTACAGCATTGTGTGCTTACATGCATCTACGGCCTTGTGGATACAATGGAGTCTCACATACATGTACATGAAATATTGCTTGTAGTGCGGCATCAGGTGTTAACATACAATGGCTAAATATTTTTCTCGCAATAATGACCGTATTCACCACAAGTGTGTTTGTGTCCAGAGCCAACTCAAGTCCTGTATTATTTATGACCATGACAACAAGTATTCCGGGCTGAAATTCTTCTATGACAGGCATGAACACTTGCCTTACAATTGTTCGTGATTGTACGAAGTACATATTCGCTGTTGCATCAATTTTGCACCATTTTTACATTGTAGTGCCACTAGTGGTATCACCTGCATGCGTATTGAGTCAAAAAAGGTTACCTCTGTATAATTATGCTTATCGTGGCTATCAAGAGCTTCGATGCAAATTCCCAGCGGACGAATGGTGTCCAGCTTGTGTTCAGCTCAGCTGGCACTCACAACTCATAATAATTGCGTTCTAGACGCCAGATGAGATGTTTCAGCTACAATGTAGACAAAACGTCCGTGTTCAAGAAAGCCGTCACTTCATCTTCTGTCCATCCTCAATAGCACGTTCAAGCAAATACGTCTGAAACACAGTAGCGACAATCTAACAGCGGCGACACGCCGTCTTCTCCGAATGAGCTTCTACCGTTCTAAATAATAATAATTCAGATTCCCCAAAAATGTCTGAATAAATAATAGATTTCCACCAAGCTCGCTAGAATCTTGCGAACCGTCAACATGCAGGCATTTCAAGTGTTCGAGCGTGCAAAGCTTCTTTTCAGCGGCTCAAGAACATTCGCCACGCGAAAAAAAAGTCGATGAGAAAGATGTAATGGTGGACGAAATTACGAAAATCGGAAGAAGGTATTCGACCCAGTTCGACTATCCTGGACTGGATTGGCAACGTCCAACAATAGGATTCGTATTCTATGGGGTCTCATGAGCTAGTGTGCCAAAGGGCGTTTAGTTGGAGCTTCAGTGCATCACCTTCGCCGAAAGAGGCCCTTTCTGAGATTTGGCCGATGGACTATCATGGCTCTACTAATGGCACAGGCCTGACTTCTACTTCTACAAGTTTCATCACCTATGCAATACAATGTGGTAGCGGTTACAAATTGACGAATAGAAGCTATAGTAACGTGTGCTCACGTCCTCCCTCCTTTCCGTTTCCCCCAAGATGTGTAGGTAAGGTTTTTCCAACATTGCTCCTCAGCGAATTGTTAGTGTTTTCTCGTTAGATGCCTTAGGGGTGTCCGATACTGTCTTAGTAGTGTCCGATTTATGTTGCGCATAGCGGAAAAATGGGGAACCTCTATTGCAATTAGTTTTAGAATTCCTGGTTCTTGCCGTGATTGGTCAATTTGGTTGAGATTTGACTGGGTTCTGTCTCCTTGGCCACCCTCACTTAGACATGGTGTAAGAATGAACAAAACATTCCATACTTTGCGACATGTGAGAGGTCGGGCTGACTATACAGATAACTGCTATGTTGGATAATGAGAGGCACAACTAGGCTAATTGCTTGAACACTTCTCAGTTACGCTGCGTTACGCTGAGATCTCTACCTGTCCTGACTACAATTCCGGCAGACATGCGACCATATGAGAGGAGTGTCGCTGTTTCTTCAACCAACTTACTCCATGTTAGTTTGGTTAGTTGCCAATTGAAGATATCTGGCTTCTCTTTGCTATGCTGATTGGAAGGTTGGACATGCTTGTCTTTGTGGGCATACTACGATGGGCTTTGTCCAGGTAATTTTGAATCAGTCTGCAGAAAAGCAGTTAGCAGTAAGCACCATCTACAACTTCAGGAACTAGAAACTTGTAAAAATATATATAATTTAATAATAACGAGAGAGCTTGGAAGCTCAGGGCCCTACGCTATGCTTTTTTGTGTTGATGACCTAGACAAAAAAGCATAGGGATGTTATAAATTCTTATAAGTTTCTACTTTTTGTTTTTAGACATAACCTGGGATTCGAACCCGCACTATCGCCCTGCATGCATCCCCCGATACACTTCGCATACGTACTAATTCTTCCAAGTTGCTTTACGTTTAATATGATCTTGTATTTGAAAGCCCTAATTGAATATGCGTTGTGGCCAGCCGTGTTTGATTGTACGGTACGGTACGGGATAGGTACGGGACAGGTACGGGACAGGTACGGGACAGGTACGGTCGAGGGTAATACGACACCGTCTACCGCCTTGTTAACGGCAAAAAAAGAAAAGGGATGTTATAATTTTTTCAATTCTCCTTTTCTTTTTCAAGCATTATCTGGGATTTGAACCCGCACTATCGCCCTACATGCATTCCCCCATACACTTCGCATTCATTCTTATTCTTCCAAGTTGCTTCACGTTATGATCTTGCGTTTGAAAGCCCTATTTGAATAGTGCAGCCAGCTGTATGTGTCCAGCTGTGTTTGATGGTACGGTACGGTACGGGACAGATACGGGATAGCGCCAGGCGTGACACAAACACACAAACACCATATTAAAGCTGTGTGGACCCTGGCTAGCGCCAGACGTTACTGAAGTAACGTCTTCTGCATAGCTACAGGAATAACTATCTGTTATGTTTACTTTGGATGGAATCGATCTACCATCACAATCAGATGTGATTCCCAAAACTTTGGAAATCATCCATAAGATCCGTCATGAGATTTACTTTGAAGTAGAAAAAAAGGTAAATCACAACCCCCGTACAGTCCAGCATATCCCTCTACTCATTTTATTACACTGTTCTGGCTTTTATTTAGCTGTTTGTAATCTACCAACAATACCAAATGGAAATGTCACAGGTTTGAAACTACATGACGATAACCAAGATGGTTTGTTTAGTCTGTATAACGTAACTTGTGATCACGGATACCATTTGACCAATATCAACTACGAGGGAAGATGCCTGACTCCTCCGCTGTTTACATCACCCCCAAACTGTGAAGGTAATATTTTCACTTTGTGCGTGTGTGTCTGTGTGTGTGTGTGTATGTGCGTACAAGGGTATGTGTGTGTGTGCGTGTATGTGTGTGTGTGTGTGTGTGTTTGTATGTGTGTGTGTGTGTGCATGTGTATGTATGTGTGTGTGTGCGTACATGTATATGTGTGCACGTATGAGTATGTTACCATATGTATGTGTTGATCAAAATTGTATAAGGTTCTTGTGAGTAACTCATCACTTACGTCGTGATCGTTTGGTCGGATCCAGATCCAGATCCATCGGATCCACTGGATCTGCAATGATCGAATGGTCGAAGCCGGATCCAGATCCTCCAGGTTTGGATCCGAGCAACCCTGCCCTGGGAGCAGGATTTGACCATGGTTGACTGAACCCATCGGATCCAAATGTGACCTTTTTGCGTATATGGTGGGTAAAAATCATTTTTGTACCCATTGTTGTACGCCTAGTCGACTTTTGTTGACTTTTCTTACGACGCGGGCGCACGCGTGCGCGAACAGTACGAATTTTGCCTTTTTGGTTACCTGTCAGCGCCATTTTTTATTTCGTCAACATGGCAACATCCAAGGTCCGAAAAAAGTGTTCGGTTTATTCTGAAGGATCCGACGGATCAGAGATTTGGATCTGGATCTGGATCCGACCAAACCATCATTGCCTTAGTGTGCGTGAGCGTTGTTCAGAATGATAATTGAGTAAAATCCCAGAGTTTAATAGGAGAGGCAAGTGATTGTTAGGAGTTTTTGAGGTTGTGAAGCAGATCAGAGCAAGGACATCTTGGTAAGAACTTCAGAAGTAACGAGAGAGCTTGGAAGCTCAGGGCCCTACGCTATGCTTTTTAGCCTTGATGACCTAGACAAAAAAAGCATAGGGATGTTATAAATTCTTTAAAAAATCCTTTTTTTTCAAGACATAACCGGGGATTCGTACCCGCATTATCGCGCGCCCTGCATGCATCCCCCGATACACTTCGCATACATACTAATTCTTCCAAGTTGCTTCACGTTATGATCTTGCATTTGGAAGCCCTATTTGAATATGCATTGTGGCCAGCCGTCTTTGATGGTAGGGTACGGTAGGGGATAGGTACGGGACAGTTAAAATCGAGGGTATACGGTAATACGACACCGTCTACCGCCTTGAAAACGGCAAAAAAAGCATAGGGATGTTATAAATTTTTCAATTCTCCTATTTTTTTTCAGGCATATCCTGGGATTCGAACCCGCACTATCGCCCTACATGCATTCCCCCATACACTTCGCACTCATACCCATTCTTCCAAGTTGCTTCACGTTATGATCTTGCGTTTGAAAGCCCTATTTGAATATTGCTGTCAGCTGTATGTGGCCAGCTGTGTTTGATGGTACGGTACGGTACGGAACAGATACGGGATAGCGCCAGGCGTGACACAAACACACAAACAAACAAACACACAAATACCAAATTAAAGCTGTGTCGACCCTGGCTAGCGCCAGACGTTACTGAAGTAACGTCTTCTGCATAGCTAGGGAATAAAGCCTCAATGTTAACGCTCCATGGTCAGTAGCTTTCATGGAGAATATAAACTAATTATAACCATGAGAAGATCAAAAGCAATAAATATAGTGATATGTTTTATTCAATTTTAATAATATATAATAGGTTTAGAGACAACACTTCTGTTTTTTGAGTTAATTCTGCTTTCCATTCCTGATAGGCTATAAGTATGTTAGTGGTCCCAGTCCTGTACTCATTCAATGTGATCAATTAAAGCCGATCAGTAACTTGTGTTAGTATTTCCTAAATAAAATGAAGCGTGTTACAGAATATTTCTATGCATACTTGTTATCTGTTGTACTCCAGCATATTGTCCGTTGCCGAATATATCAAATTCAAATGTGAACTCCACAAGAACTAACAACAATGGCGATGTCATTGAATATACAGTTACCTGTAACCATGGATACGAAATAAGCAACCAACACTATGATACTGTGTGTCGTGATCCTTCTGGCTTTACATCACCCCCGAGCTGTATAGGTAAGTTGGCATCCTTTTGGGCTGCGTTCGTTTTTAACTACCTTGTAGAGTAGAGTAGAGTCACTCTACCGATAAAGGTAGATGGTAGAGGTCAGTGCACGAACACTAATCTTCCGCATTTAGTAGTTTTTCACGATATGTACATGAATTGTTTCGCGTCTGTATGGAGTTGTTTACAATTCCTTGATTTTGCTGGAAATCCCGTACCTCTACCAACTTCTAGCGGCTTCCACCAACTTTTTCCTGGTCCTTTCTCTTTTGTATAAACTTCTACCGAAAGAAGTAGTTTCTACCCAAACATGTAGATCAAAAATGAACGCCCCCTTAGGATTATGCTTGTGTTTTCCATTTCAAAATGTTTCAAAGCAAGTTGTTTAGATTTTTTTCAGGCGGATTATTTTGGACCCCAATGGGTAAACAGCCGCTTTCGGTCTGTTTATTAAGGACAACATGACTTTTCCCATTTTCAGCTTATACTAGGCATTGAGGGTCAGGAAACAAATATTACAGGTGTGGGTCGACTCACAGTGGTATGAAAAGTATCTCAAACACACCAGGGTAATGTGTTAATCGCGAGAGCCAATCTTTAGACGCATTGAAAACTACGGTTTAACCATCGTACAAGTCTCTCAGCAGCTCTTTGGCCTTCGACGTTATTGCTTTCCCATGAACACCAATTCCCTCTTCACGCTGGGAAGTGATACACTCAACCAGGTATTCCTCCATGTCAGGGAACTTTTAAAGGGAGTTCTTGTATTTCACACGGCATCAAAGACGAATAACATCGCCATGTTTCCGTTCTCAACGACTGTGGGCGAGGAAATCTTCATGCTGACCTTGCCATGCTCGAAGCATCGACCTAGAAAAGTTGAAATCCGGCACCACGGCGCTGATGGGGCGCTGCTCCAGGCCAGCTAAACTGCACGAAACTTCTGCAAAATCGAGTAGCTCTTCCTCGACTTGGGCATGATCTCGAAGAAACAAACTCAGGCTGAAGACCATGGGAAAATTGAAAGTACATGGATGCTTGACATGAACGGGGAACGGCACCGTACGAGTACTCGAGGTTCATACTCTGCCGATTTTTGCATGTACGCATCTCTCACTCTTAGCGCCATGGTGTTCAAACCGACGCGATTTTCTCCAAACATTTGGTACAAAACAGCGAAGTTTCACCTATAATGCCATGGCTTTAAATGCGCAGAAATTCGGTAGTCAATATAAAAGGATCAAGAAACTACAAGTCCACTCTGCCATATCCGTATTTGTGCATTCTATTACAATACGGACTATTGCATCGCTTGTCTGGTTTATACAGCTGTTTGTATGCTACCCAACATACTTCATGGCTCTACTAATGGAACAGGCCTGACTTCTACTTCTACAAGTTTCATCACCTATACAATACAATGTGGTAGTGGTTACAAATTGACGAATAGCAGCTATGGTAACGTGTGCTCACGTCCTCCCTCTTTTCCGTTTCCCCCAAGATGTGTAGGTAAGTTTTTTGATCATTGCTCCTGAGCGAACTGTTAGCTTTTTCTTGTTAGATGCCTTAGGGGTGTTCGATACTGTCTCAGCAGTGTCCGGTTTATGTTGTGCATAGCGGAAAAATGGGGAACCTCTATTGCAATTAGTTTTAGAATTCCTGGTCCTTGCCGTGATTGATCAATTTGGTTGAGATTGGACTGGGTTCTGTCTCCTGGACAACCCTCACTTAGACATGGTGTAAAATGAACAAAACATTCCATACTTTTGCTACATGTGAGAGGTCCGGATGATTATACACATAACTGCTATGTTGGATAAGGAGAGCCACAACTAGGCTAATTGCTTGAACACTTCTCAATTACGCTCCATTACGCTGAGATCTCTACCTGTCCTGACTACAATTCCGGCAGACAAGCGACCATATGAGAGGAGTGTCGCTGTTTCTTCAACCAACTTACTCCATGTTAGTTTGGTTAGTTGCCAATTGAAGATACCTTGCTTCTCTTTGCTATGCTGGTTGGAAGGTTGGACATGTTTGTCGTTGTGGGAGTTCTACGATGGGCTTTGTTCAGGTAATTTTGAATCAGTCTGCAGTAAGCAGTAAGCACCATCTACAACTTCAGGAACTAGAAACTTGTTTAAATATATAAAACTTAATAATAACGAGAGAGCTTGGAAGCTCAGGGCCCTACGCTGTGCTTTTTTGCCTTGATGACCTAGACAAAAAAGCATAGGGATGTTATAAATTCTTATCAGTTTCTACTTTTTGTTTTTAGACATAACCTGGGATTCGAACCCGCACTATCGCCCTGCATGCATCCCCCGATACACTTCGCATACATACTAATTCTTCCAAGTTGCTTCACGTTTAATATGATCTTGTATTTGAAAGCCCTATTTGGATATGCGTTGTGGCCAGCCGTCTTTGATTGTACGGTACGGTACGGGATAGGTACTGGACAGGTACGGGACATGTATGGTCGAGGGTAATACGACACCGTCTACCGCCTTGATGACGGCAAAAAAAGAAAAGGGATGTTATCAATTTTCAATTCTCCTTTTCTTTTTCAAGCATTACCTGGGATTCAAACCCGCACTATCGCCCTACATGCATCCCCCATACGGTTCGCATTCATACTCATTCTTCCAAGTTGCTTCACGTTATGATTTTGCGTTTGAAAGCCCTATTTGAATAGTGCAGCCAGCTGTATGTGGCCAGCTGTGTTTGATGGTACGGTACGGTACGGGACAGATACGGGATAGCGCCAGGCGTGACACGAACACACAATTACACAAACACACAAACACCAAATTAAAGCTGTGTGGACCCTGGCTAGTGCCAGACGTTACTGAAGTAACGTCTTCTGCATAGCTACAAGAATAATTATCTGTTAAGTTTACTTTGGATGGAATCGATCTACCATCACAATCAGATGTGATTCCCAAAACTTTGGAAATCATCCATAGGATCCGTCATGAGATTTACTTTGAAGTAGAAAAAAAGTAAATCACAACCCCCGTATAGTCCAGCATATCCCTCTACTCATTTTATTACACTGTTCTGGCTTTTATTTAGCTGTTTGTAATCTACCAACAATACCAAATGGAAATGTCACGGGTTCGAAACTACATGACGATAACCAAGATGGTTTGTTTAGTCTGTATAACGTAACTTGTGATCACGGATACCATTTGACCAATAGCAACTACGAGGGAAGATGCCTGACTCCTCCACTGTTTGCATCACCCCCAAACTGTGAAGGTAATATTTTCACGTTGTGCGTGTGTGTATGTATGTACAAGGGTATGTGTGTGTGTGCGTGTGTGTGTGTGTGTGTGTGTGTGTGTGTGTGTGTTTGTGTATGTATGTGTGTGCGTACATGTATATGTGTGCACGTATGAGTATGTTACCATATGAATGTGTTGATCAAAATTGTATAAGGTTCTTGTCAGTAACTCATCACTTACGACGTGATCGTTTGGTCGAATCCAGATCCAGATACATCGGATCCACTGGATCTGCAATGATCGATTGGTCAAAACCGGATCCAGATCCTCCAGGTTTGGATCCGAGCAACCCTGCCCTGGGAGCAGGGTTTGACCATGGTTGACTGGATCCATCGGATTCGAATCTGACCTTTGTGCGTATATGATGGGTAAACATCATTTTTGTACTCATTGTCGTATGTCTAGTGGTTTTTTGTTGACTTCCCTTACGACGCGGGCGCACGCGTGCGCGATCAGCAGGAATTTTGCCTTTTTGGTTACCTGTCAGCGCCATTTTTTATTTCGTCAACATGGCAACAGCCAAGGTCCGAAAAAAAGTGTTCGGTTTATTCCGAAGGATCCGACGGATCTGAGATTTGGATCTGGATCTGGATCCGACCAAACCATCATAGCCTTAGTATGCATGAGCGTTGTTCAGAATGATAATTGAGTAAAATCCCAGAATTTAATTGGAGAGGCAAGTGATTGGTAGGAGTTTTTGAGGTTGTGAAGCAGATCAGAGCAAGGACATCTTGGTAAGAACTTCAGAAGTAATAAAGCCTCCATGTTAACGCTCCATGGTCAGTAGCTTTCATGGAGAATATAAACTATTTACTTGGTCCGACTTATTAAAATGTGCACTTCACTTCAAAACTCAAGCATATGAACAAAGGAGCACCTGTAATAAAACATCAACCAAGAGACGGTAGATAGATAACTACTGTGTCGTTTCTTGGCCTAACCTTCTAGTTTTCGTCGCTGCTGGTGTTTCAGGGCGCATCTGCAAGTGCGTCAACCTGCAAAACGTCGAGATATTTTCCATCTCCTCCAAGCTACACTGCGCTTCCTGGATTTTTTCACTCTATAGGCACGATTTAGACGATCGACTTCGCCTCCTCCTCGTCCAGGACGGCTGCGAGAATGGTGGCTGTAGGTGTTTTCGACTGACGCTCCCACGACACCTTCAAATGAGGCGAACAAGTAAACCACGCAGCGTAAAAAATCACTTCTCATCACCGTGTGCCGCGCGTACTGTCACTTTTGAGTCTGATCTGTGTCGACATGTCATAAAGTCAGACCATGCATGCTCTTCCCTGCCTGTTTCACGAATCCACTGGCCCCGGAGACTGGCGATCTTGTGACGCATCGCGATCTCGGCTCCGAGGGCTCCGCACCGTATCCGCCGGATAATTCACCCTTTCTGCGCTTCAGTTTTCCAGCCAGGTTGTCGCCTGAAAGTCGACCTCTAGGCCGGTTATTTATTTCGATCAACTTCTCTAAGATCTCTTCTGTGATCTTGATTCGTCGGCCGCCACACCGTGAACGACTGCAAGAGAGATCATCAAACTGGAAGAAGCGATTATGGTGCTTTCTGCACGAGTTTCTGGATGACGTGTTTGCTGAAATTCTGCCAAGAAAACAGCGATTGCAGCGATTTCAATCCGCCAGGAGGCACTCGAGAACGATCGCCCAGGAGTTTCTGGTACTCCGTAACAATCCCCCATTGCAGTCGGGTGTTGATTTCAGCACCAGGCCTTCTCTGTGTTGCGCGAGAAGCTACAGAAGTCCTCTGACGACAAAATTTGGACGCAAAATGCTCGAGTCGACTAGGATCCTGAGCCGCTGCCTCCGTTGCAGTTGGAGCCATTTCTTCTTCAACATCACAAATTGACAACTGAAGGATAGTGTTAGGTAGCTGGAAAGTTTATTCCGTCCTGAGATTATTTGAATTTGTTTGGTTGACGTTCGAAGCGAAACGCACATTTTAATAAGTCGGACCAAGTATAACCATGAGAAGATCAAAAGCAATAAATATTAGGGCTGAAACGATCAATCAATAAATCTTAACGATCCATCAATATCATTAACGATCGATATATTGGTTTTATCGATTCTTGTCGGCTCTACCCGTGTACCTCGAACACCAGTTTATGAAGAAATTCCACGATACTTTTGCTACGTTAGAAATTTGTGGCACCGCACTGTGGACATCTGTAGACATCTGACTGGTTTATCAACATGACCTAGAGAATTTAATGTTGTTTCTAGAGTGAAGAATCTTGTCATCACCCACCGACAACTGCTCCTATCTCTGACCTTTTCCGCAAATGAACTGAAAAGACAAAAGAGTATTCTCTTCCGATCTCTTTCAAAGCCACAAATCAATTTTACTGCGCTTGAAAGTACATGATTGTACTCGTATTCACTATCGGATGGAGTGCAAGGGCTAGAATACTGTCACTCATATACATGCATAAAATATCGTTAGCACTCGTTTTGAACACTAACGATTATCGATTGCACTCGTTACGATCGATATGCGAGTTATCGGTATAATTGTTTCAGCCCTAATAAATATAGTGATATGTTTTATTCAATTTAGGTTTAGAGACAACACTTCTGTTTTTGAATTAATTCTGCTTTCCTGATAGGCTATAAGTATGTTAGTGGTCCCAGTCCTGTACTCATTCAATGTGATCAATTAAAGCCGATCAGTAACTTGTGTTAGTATTTCCTAAATAAAATGAAGCGTGTTACAGAATATTTCTATGCATACTTGTTATCTGTTCTACTCCAGCATATTGTCCGTTGCCGAATATATCAAATTCAAATGTGAACTCCACAAGAACTAACAACAATGGTGATGCCATTGAATATACAGTTACCTGTAACCATGGATACGAAATAAGCAATCAACACTATGATACTGTGTGTCGTGATCCTTCTGGCTTTACATCACCCCCGAGCTGTATAGGTAAGTTGGCATCCATTTGGGCTGCGTTCGTTTTTAACTACCTGGTAGAGTAGAGTAGAGTCACTCTACCAATAGAGGTAGATGGTAGAGGTCAGTGCACGAACGCTGTTCTACCGGATTTCGTAGTTTTTCACGATAAGTGCATGAAATGTTTCCCTTGTGTATGGAGTTGTTTACATTTCATTGATTTTGCTGGAAATCCCGTACCTCTACCAACATTTAGCGGCTACTACCAACTTTTTCCTGCTAGGGCCGGTGGAGGAAAGTAGAATATACGCTTTTGAGCAGAAAAAAACGAGCACTTCTACCGAATGGAATCGAATGGAGATCCAAGGTTTAATTTCTACAAAAGAGAAAGGACAAAGGAGCTAAAACTAGGAACTAGTTGATGAAGTGCGCATCCAAGATGTGCTAGAGCTGTTAGCCAGTTAGTTGTAGAACGTCAGTACTGTCGGTCAGTGTCGTGCAATGTTATCGCATGAGCTGATTGTTTAGTAGCTGGTGGTGTTAGTGGACAGTATAGCGTAACTTGTAGTTCCTTGGTCCTTTCTCTTTTGTATAAACTTCTACCGAAAGAAGTAGTTTCTACCCGAACATGTAGATAAAAAGGAATGCCCCCTTAGGATTATGCCGGTGTTGTCCATTTCAAAATGTTTCATATCAAGTTTTTTATATTTTACGCGTGGATTATTTTGGACCCAACGGGCCAGCAGCCGCTTTCGGTTTGTTTATTAATGAAACCATGACTTTTTCCCATTTTCGGCTTCTACTTGGCATTGGGGGTCAGGAAACAAAAATATTACAGGTGTGGACCGACTCATGGTGGTATCAAAAGTATCTCAAACACACCAGGGTAGTGTGTTAAAAACCCAAAAAACCCATAAAATTGTTATCACAGGAAAGAAATGAAGAGAGATCCACCAGACTGAAGGAAGAGACATGAAGGATATTTGTTTAGGTGTAGCTACTGTGCTGGTCATACACGAGGCGAGCTGGCTTGCGGAAAATACTTCCAGGTCGCCTCTGCCAAACCTTGTCCATGCATTGCTTTATTAGGTCACTAGTCATGCAGCCACCTTTCGAGACTGCCCATCACACTCTTTCGGGAAATCTCCTTTCGGTACATTCTTCAGATTCCGAAAGGTCAGCATCGGGATCCATTTGGTACCATTGGCCAAAGCGGTGATTACCACAGAAAACCGAAGCTTCTCAAAGCCGGTATTACGCATGCGAACTGTTTTGACACCCTGCATATTGTAGGTTTCATTGCTAGGCAAGTCAAACTAAAATTTAGACTCGTCCATGTTTCCAACACCAACTGGCTTCAAATCACCCTTCAGGATCGTCTCGCGCACTTTTTCCAGAAATTTTTTGGCAATGTTCTGTGCATTGTCTGGAATTTGATGGCCAGCAGTAGTCACTCGTTTTGGGCACAAATAATTCCGCTGCAGGAATCGCGAGAGCCAATCTTTAGACGCATTGAAAACTACGGTTTAACCATCGAACAGGTCTCTCAGCAGCTCTTTGGCCTTCGACGTTATTGCTTTCCCATGAACACCAATTCCCTCTTCACGCTGGGAAGTGATACACTCAACCAGGTATTTCTCCATGTCAGGGAACTTAACCCTTTGAGGACGAATATATCCAATTTTTAAGGCATTGCTGGATTCCTAAAGACGAGTATATCCGTTTTTGAGAAAATTTCGATATCGATATATTTTTAGGTGCTTGAAGTCGCTCATATGTTGCTCAGACGAGTATGATCTGATTCTTTGTCAAGATGCGACATGTCGCAGTGGATCCGCGTCGGTCCCGTGGAGAACCGGCCACATTTGAGTATACTCAGTGAATGCGCCGATCGAGAAATTATTTGGAATTTGAAACTAACTTGTTACTTTGTTGAGAGTGACGATGGCACATAACCTGTCAACTATCTCCTTGTCTGAGGCCCTCGGCATTATCTTTATGAGCAGCTGGCACTCTCAACAAGTTAGTTTCAAATTCCAAATAATTTCTCGATCGGCGCATTCTCTGAGTAAACTCAAATGTGGCCGGTTCTCCACGGGACCGACTCGAATCGACTGCGACATTTCTCACCTTGACGAAGAATCAGATCATGCTGGTCTGAGCAACATATGAGCGACTTCAAGCACCTAAAAATATACCGATATCGCATTTTCTCAAAATCGGATGTACTCGTCTTTAGGAACCCAGCTATACCTTAAAAAACGGATGTGTTCGTCCTTTGTCCTCAAAGGGTTAAAAGTATCAAGAAACTACAAGCCCACTCTTCCATATCCGTATATGTGCATTCTATTACAATACGGACTATTGCATCGCTTGTCTGGTTTTTACAGCTGTTTGTATGCTACCCAACATACTTCATGGCTCTACTAATGGCACAGGCCTGACTTCTACTTCTACAAGTTTCATCACCTATACAATACAATGTGGTAATGGTTACAAATTGACGAATAGCAGCTATGGTAACGTGTGCTCACGTCCTCCCTCTTTTCCGTTTCCCCCAAGATGTGTAGGTAAGGTTTTTTATCATTGCTCCTGAGCGAACTGTTAGTGATTTCTCGTTAGATGCCTTAGGGGTGTCCGACACTGTCTCAGCAGTGTCCGGTTTATGTTGTGCATAGCGGAAAAATGGGGAACCACTATTGCAATTAGTTTTAGAATTCCTGGTCCTTGCCGTGATTGATCAATTTGGTTGAGATTGGACTGGGTTCTGTCTCCTGGACAACCGTCACTTAGAAATGGTGTAAAAATGAACAAAACATTCCATACTTTTGCTACATGTGAGAGGTCCGGCTGATTATACACATGACTGCTATGTTGGATAAGGAGAGCCACAACTAGGCTAATTGCTTGAATACTTCTTAATTACGCTGCATTGCGCTGAGACCTCTACCTGCCCTGACTACAATTCCGGCAGACATGCGACCATATGAGAGGAGTGTCGCTGTTTCTTCAACCAACGTACTCCATGTTAGTTTGGTTAGTTGCCAATTGAAGATATCTGGCTTCTCTTTGCTATGCTGGTTGGAAGGTTGGACATGTTTGTCGTCGTGGGCATTCTACGATAGGCTTTGTTCAGGTAATTTTGAATCAGTAAGCAGTAAGCAGTAAGCACCATCTGCAACCTCAGGAAATAGAAACTTGTATAAATATAAAATTTAATAATAATTAATGTCTGTAATGTTTACTTTGGATGGAATGGATCTACCATCACGATCAGATGTGGTTCCCAAAACTTTGGAAATCATCCATAAGATCCGTCATGAGATTTACTTTGAAGTAGAATATGTTTACTTTGGATGGAATGGATCTACCATCACGATCAGATGTGGTTCCCAAAACTTTGGAAATCATCCATAAGATCCGTCATGAGATTTACTTTGAAGTAGAATATGTTTACTTTGGATGGAATGGATCTACCATCACGATCAGATGTGGTTCCCAAAACTTTGGAAATCATCCATAAGATCCGTCATGAGATTTACTTTGAAGTAGAAAAAAAAGTAAATCACAACCCCCGTACAGTCCAGCATATCCCTCTACTCATTTCATTACACTGTTCTGGCTTTTATTTAGCTGTTTGTAATCTACCAACAATACCAAATGGAAATGTCACGGGTTTGAAACTACATGACGATAACCAAGATGGTTTGATTAGTCTGTATAACTTAACTTGTGATTACGGATACCATTTGACCAATAGCAACTACGAGGGAAGATGCCTGACTCCTCCACTGTTTGCATCACCCCCAAACTGTGAAGGTAATATTTTCACTTCGTGTGTGTATGTATGTGTGTGTGTGTGTATGTGTGTACAAGTGTATGTGCGTACATGTGTAAGTGTGCACGTCTGAGTATGTGACCATGTGAGTTTGTTGATCAAAATTGTATAAGGTTCTTGTCAGTAACTCATCACTTACGACGTGATCGTTTGGTCGGATCCAGATCCAGATACATCGGATCCACTGGGTCTGCAATGATCGATTGGTCAAATCCGGATCCAGATACTCCGGATTTGGATCCGAGCAACCCTGCCCCATGGTTGACTGGATCCATTGGATCCAAATGTGACCTTTGTGCGTACATGGCGGGTAAAAATCATTTTTGTACCCATTGTCGTACGTCTAGTGGACTTTTGTTGACTTTTCTTACGACACGCGCGATCAGTACGAGTTTTGGCTTTTTGGTGACCTGTCAGCGCCATTTTTTTACTTCGTCAACATGGCAACAGACAAGTTCCGAAACAAAAGTGTTCGGTTGAGTCTGAAGGATCCGACGGATCTAAGATTTGGATCTGGATCTGGATCCGACCAAACCATCATAGCCTTAGTATGCGTGAGCGTTGTTGAGAATGATAATTGAGTAGAATCCCAGAATTTAATAGGAGAGGCAAGTAATTGTGAGGCGTTTTTGAGGTTGTGAAGCAGATCAGAGCAAGGACATCTTGGTAAGAACTTAGAAGTAACAAAGCCTCCATGTTAACGCTCCATGGTCAATAGTTTTCGTGGAGAATATAAACAATTTATAAACATGAGAAGATCGAAAGCTGCAGCATCAACAAGAAATATAGTGAGATGTTTTATTCCCTTTAGGTTTAGAGAAAACTCTTCAGACATATACATGGTTACAGTACAGTGTAGCTGGACAACACAGGTTCAACAGTGCACATCGTACGTGAACTCTACGCATACAGCACGTACATTGTGACGTACAACTATTTTTCAGGGCCGCACCCGTTTTGCTAGTTTTGAATACAGCCTGCGGCGGCTGATCAAGGTTACGGTAATTACTATTATGATCTGAGCAATATGGCAGTAAGGAGAGAATCGGCAGGTAACCATGAAGCCCTGACTTACTCGTACACTAGTCCAGTTGCATTGCTGACTTGAGCACATACGGACATGAACAAACGTGGCCCAACACCACCTTTGCCTATGCACAGTTCTAATAGATAACAGTCGTCAGCATGTGTATATTTCCTGCTGGTTTCACTGCCTGTCGACCTCATCACTAACACCCTGACAATTTCATTGTGTACACAGCAATCACTCACCGTCTATTTTTTTTAGTTAATTCTGCTTTCCATTCCTTTCCTGGCTATAAGTATGTTAGTGGTCCCAGTCCTGTACTCATTCAATGTGATCAATTAAAGCCGATAAGTAACTTGTGTTAGTATTTCCTAAATAAAATGAAGCGTGTTACAGAATATTTCTATGCATACTTGTTATCTGTTGTACTCCAGCACATTGTCCGTTGCCGAATATATCAAATTCAAATGTGAACTCCACAAGAACTAACAACAATGGTGATGTCATTGAATATACAGTTACCTGTAACCATGGATACGAAATAAGCAACCAACACTATGATACTGTGTGTCGTGATCCTTCTAGCTTTACATCACCCCCGAGCTGTATAGGTAAGTTGGCATCCATTTGGGCTGCGTTTGTTTTTAGCTACCTGGTAGAGTAAAGTAGAGTCACGCTACCGAAAGAGGTAGATGGTAGAGGTAAGTGCACGGACGCTGTTCTATCGGATTTACTAGGTTATGCGATGTGTACGTGAAATGTGTCTCTTCTGTATGGAGTTGTGCACAACTCCTTGATTTTGCTGGAAGTCCCGTTCCTCTACCAACTTCTACCGGCTTCTACCAACATTTTTAGGGCTGAAACAATTGTACCGATAACTCGCATATCGACCGTTAAGAGTACAATCGATAATCTTTAGTGTTCAAAACGAGTGCTAACAATTTTTTATGCATGCATATTAGTGTTGAGTTCGAAACAGGATGACTGACAACGGGAACAAGTTAGTTACAATATTCTAGCCCTTGTACTCCATCTAATAGTGAATACGAGTACAATCATGTTCTTCAAGTGCAGTAAAATTGATTTGTGTCTTTGAAAGAGATCGGGAGAGAAGACGTTGCCTTTTCGGTTCATTCATGGGAGAAGTCGGAGCAGTTGCCAGAGGGTGATGACAAGATTATTTGCTCCAGAAACAGCATGAAGCTCTCTACTTGAGTAGTTCATGTTGATAAAACCGGCCAGATATCCACGGATGTCAACAGTGCGGTGCCACAAATTTCTAACGTAGCAAAGGTATGAAAAGGGTTTGCTCCCCACACCGGAGCTCGCTCTATTCCGCCCACTTTACTTGACACTTGACTGACTCACGACTAGCGGAATAGCGCGAGCTCCGGTGTGGGGAGCAAACCCTTTTCTTACAAATCATCGCCGAAGTCGCAACCACTACTTCGTAGCAAAGGTATCATAGAATTTCTTCATAAACTGGTGTTCGATAGAGCTGACAAGAATCGATAAAACCAATATATCGATCGTTTATAATATTGGTTGATCGTTAGGAGTTATTGAATGATCGTTTCAGCCCTAAACCTTTTCCTGTTAGGGCTAGTAGAGGAAAGTGGAATCCACGCTTTTGAGTAGAAAAAACCCGAGCACTTCTACCGAATGGACTCGGATGGAGAGCCAAGATTTAATTTCTACAAAAGAGAAAGGACAAAGGAGCTAAAACTAGGAACTAGCTGTTGAAGTGTGCATCTAAGATGTGCTAGAGCTGTTAGCCAGTTAGTTGTAGAACGTCAGTACCTTCGGTCAGTGTCGTGCAATGTTATCGCATAAGCTGATTGTTTAGTAGCTGGTGGCGTTAGTGGACAGCATAGCACAACTTGTAGTTCCTTCGTCCTTTCTCTTTTGTATAAACTTCTACCGAAAGGAGTAGTTTCTACCCCAACATATAGATCAAAAACGAATGCCCCCTTAGGATTATGCCAGTGTTTTCTATTTCAAAAAGTTTCAAATTAAGTGGTTTAGATTTTACAGGTGGATCATTTTCGACCTAACGGGTAAGCAGCCGCTTTCACTTCAACCTCCACCCAACCCAGTTTGGTTGTAAGCAAATACCCTTGGGACCTCTCGCATGACTACTTGCAGTGCTGTGTTGAAGCACTAAGTATGAACTGTCACCCTTATTTTCAGTAGGTTGTATCATGATTATTATAATTATTATGTTTAAGAACTCAGATGGTGAGCCAAGGAAAAATTTCTAATAACGATGGAAAATGTAGGCACAAATTATGCGATCGAGTCTACCAACTGAACCGGATTTTGAACAGTCAGACGTGCACAATCTAGCACAACATTTTCTGATAAGGAGTACTCAGATATTCCACGGCATGAAAGCCAACTTGAGTACTGCTAGATTGCCCCAACCAACGTCCTTACAACTTGGAAGGTTCAGGGATATTAGTGCTAATTTGAGGAGAAGGCAAACGCCATCGAGACGAGCACAAGCTGCAATCCAATTCAGAGGCACTTAGAAATTTGCTCTGCACATCAAAAAGAAAATTTGGAAGAAATAACTCACAATCGGAACACATGCAGGATCCGATTCGGGTTGGAGATGCCAAACTTGCAGATGTCACCTGTCTCTATGTGAAATGTAGGCCAAGTGAAGGAACCTCGGAATTCTACCCGGCCTTCATTTCCCAAAAGGACCCAATCTCGATCAATATCCTAAAGTAGATGTTGGTCATCAGTAATTAGTTCTGGGGTATCTCCCCTTAGGATTGAGTCAACCAATTCACAGGCATCAAATACAGGTCATAAAAGCTTGGGAATGATCCATCAGTTCAGTCATCAGACTAAAAAGTATATTGAGTCACAATTTCTCCACGCACCCATAATTCTCTGCTGATTTCATCCCACTCTTCTGTTTACTGTAGCTGTTTGCAATCCACCAACAATACCAAATGGAAATGTCACGGGTTTGAAACTACATGACGATAACCAAGATGGTTTGTTTAGTCTGTATAACGTAACTTGTGATGATGGATACCATTTGACCAATATCAACTACGAGGGGAGATGTATGAATCCTCCAGTGTTTGCATCACCCCCAAGCTGTGAAGGTAATATATTAGTCTGTGTATGTTTTTGTGTGTGTGCATGTGTGTGTATGTTAGTGCACGTTTGAGCATGTGACATTGTGGATCAAGAATTGTATAAGGTTCTTGTAAATCATCACTAAGTCTTAGTAAGCGTGCCCGTTGTGCACAATGATACTGCATCAAATCCACAAAACGTGTTGGAATTAAAATGAGAGGACCAAAGGTTTACAAAATATGTTTTTTTTGTCCGACACTAACATATCAATCTGAGTCTGGCGATATCTCGACCTGAAGTACTTAAATATTCGGCGAGGAGAAAACAATAATAAATTATCGCAATTAGGTGGACGAGCTGAAGTGACATTGGATTACTTACCTCCCGTTTCTTCTGAGAGGAATTGTCCCTGTTTGAGACGAAAGTGCGGATTCAGTCGCAGCAAGTTCCTCTGTTGTGATCGCTCTGGAAATCTCGATGTCGCCCCTGTATGTTTTGCTTGAGCCACGGTGTCATTTCTGCCGTCACTATCCAGGTTGACGTGATAAGAACTGTGCAAGACCTCCGCACGCACCTGGACTCCAACCTTTTTGCCTTGTATTCTCGCCAACTGTCCGAAATTTCAGGCAGCAATTCCTGGCGATTTCCTTAGCCCCGAAAGACGCATCGCTTTGGAGGCTATTGAAAGACGCTAGGATTGTTTGGCATGGACGTATGGACTCGCTGCTGGCTGAGTAACCAAGTGGAAAGAGAGAACTCCATGGGTTTGCATTGAAACGCGAAAGCACGACGATTCTCCTTCGCAGAATGGACGAGCGCACTGTTGCGCTGGTACACGAGAGACTGGCCTGCTTCTGACTAAGACTCAGCAATGTACCACTCACCAGCTTGTTGCTTGGCTCCCTGCACCCGATTGCATGGAACTACAAGTAGGTCGTACCTCACAGCCTTGTGAAGTTGTGGTACCACCACAAAAATATTTAAAAAAACGCGCCAAGTGTCGCTTGTCGGAGGTAGTACCTCATTAATTTTATGAGTTTGAAATTTCTAGTTAAATTTTCTGAAGCTCCTGGCTAAACCTCCTCTTCAGACAGCAATCTAGCCTGGAAGCTTAAGTCACTAAAGTGTAAGGAGACAAGTTGAATAACATTACTAGTGCTTATGGTGAACAAATTGCACATCTCTAGTTCTGGTCTATTTTCATACAAGTAGTTCAATCTGCTGCGTGCTTTCCTGTTTCCTTCCTTGCTGCTTGTCTTCCCTACTCGTCTTCCCTACTCGTCTTCCCTACTCGTCTTCCCTACTCGTCTTCCCTACTCGTCTTCCCTACTCGTCTTCCCTACTCGTCTTCCCTACTCGTCTTCCCTACTCGTCTTCCCTACTCGTCTTCCCTACTCGTCTTCCCTACTCGTCTTCCCTACTCGTCTTCCCTACTCGTCTTCCCTACTCGTCTTCCCTACTCGTCTTCCCTACTCGTCTTCCCTACTCGTCTTCCCTACTCGTCTTCCCTACTCGTCTTCCCTACTCGTCTTCCCTACTCGTCTTCCCTACTCGTCTTCCCTACTCGTCTTCCCTACTCGTCTTCCCTACTCGTCTTCCCTACTCGTCTTCCCTACTCGTCTTCCCTACTCGTCTTCCCTACTCGTCTTCCCTACTCGTCTTCCCTACTCGTCTTCCCTACTCGTCTTCCCTACTCGTCTTCCCTACTCGTCTTCCCTACTCGTCTTCCCTACTCGTCTTCCCTACTCGTCTTCCCTACTCGTCTTCCCTACTCGTCTTCCCTACTCGTCTTCCCTACTCGTCTTCCCTACTCGTCTTCCCTACTCGTCTTCCCTACTCGTCTTCCCTACTCGTCTTCCCTACTCGTCTTCCCTACTCGTCTTCCCTACTCGTCTTCCCTACTCGTCTTCCCTACTCGTCTTCCCTACTCGTCTTCCCTACTCGTCTTCCCTACTCGTCTTCCCTACTCGTCTTCCCTACTCGTCTTCCCTACTCGTCTTCCCTACTCGTCTTCCCTACTCGTCTTCCCTACTCGTCTTCCCTACTCGTCTTCCCTACTCGTCTTCCCTACTCGTCTTCCCTACTCGTCTTCCCTACTCGTCTTCCCTACTCGTCTTCCCTACTCGTCTTCCCTACTCGTCTTCCCTACTCGTCTTCCCTACTCGTCTTCCCTACTCGTCTTCCCTACTCGTCTTCCCTACTCGTCTTCCCTACTCGTCTTCCCTACTCGTCTTCCCTACTCGTCTTCCCTACTCGTCTTCCCTACTCGTCTTCCCTACTCGTCTTCCCTACTCGTCTTCCCTACTCGTCTTCCCTACTCGTCTTCCCTACTCGTCTTCCCTACTCGTCTTCCCTACTCGTCTTCCCTACTCGTCTTCCCTACTCGTCTTCCCTACTCGTCTTCCCTACTCGTCTTCCCTACTCGTCTTCCCTACTCGTCTTCCCTACTCGTCTTCCCTACTCGTCTTCCCTACTCGTCTTCCCTACTCGTCTTCCCTACTCGTCTTCCCTACTCGTCTTCCCTACTCGTCTTCCCTACTCGTCTTCCCTACTCGTCTTCCCTACTCGTCTTCCCTACTCGTCTTCCCTACTCGTCTTCCCTACTCGTCTTCCCTACTCGTCTTCCCTACTCGTCTTCCCTACTCGTCTTCCCTACTCGTCTTCCCTACTCGTCTTCCCTACTCGTCTTCCCTACTCGTCTTCCCTACTCGTCTTCCCTACTCGTCTTCCCTACTCGTCTTCCCTACTCGTCTTCCCTACTCGTCTTCCCTACTCGTCTTCCCTACTCGTCTTCCCTACTCGTCTTCCCTACTCGTCTTCCCTACTCGTCTTCCCTACTCGTCTTCCCTACTCGTCTTCCCTACTCGTCTTCCCTACTCGTCTTCCCTACTCGTCTTCCCTACTCGTCTTCCCTACTCGTCTTCCCTACTCGTCTTCCCTACTCGTCTTCCCTACTCGTCTTCCCTACTCGTCTTCCCTACTCGTCTTCCCTACTCGTCTTCCCTACTCGTCTTCCCTACTCGTCTTCCCTACTCGTCTTCCCTACTCGTCTTCCCTACTCGTCTTCCCTACTCGTCTTCCCTACTCGTCTTCCCTACTCGTCTTCCCTACTCGTCTTCCCTACTCGTCTTCCCTACTCGTCTTCCCTACTCGTCTTCCCTACTCGTCTTCCCTACTCGTCTTCCCTACTCGTCTTCCCTACTCGTCTTCCCTACTCGTCTTCCCTACTCGTCTTCCCTACTCGTCTTCCCTACTCGTCTTCCCTACTCGTCTTCCCTACTCGTCTTCCCTACTCGTCTTCCCTACTCGTCTTCCCTACTCGTCTTCCCTACTCGTCTTCCCTACTCGTCTTCCCTACTCGTCTTCCCTACTCGTCTTCCCTACTCGTCTTCCCTACTCGTCTTCCCTACTCGTCTTCCCTACTCGTCTTCCCTACTCGTCTTCCCTACTCGTCTTCCCTACTCGTCTTCCCTACTCGTCTTCCCTACTCGTCTTCCCTACTCGTCTTCCCTACTCGTCTTCCCTACTCGTCTTCCCTACTCGTCTTCCCTACTCGTCTTCCCTACTCGTCTTCCCTACTCGTCTTCCCTACTCGTCTTCCCTACTCGTCTTCCCTACTCGTCTTCCCTACTCGTCTTCCCTACTCGTCTTCCCTACTCGTCTTCCCTACTCGTCTTCCCTACTCGTCTTCCCTACTCGTCTTCCCTACTCGTCTTCCCTACTCGTCTTCCCTACTCGTCTTCCCTACTCGTCTTCCCTACTCGTCTTCCCTACTCGTCTTCCCTACTCGTCTTCCCTACTCGTCTTCCCTACTCGTCTTCCCTACTCGTCTTCCCTACTCGTCTTCCCTACTCGTCTTCCCTACTCGTCTTCCCTACTCGTCTTCCCTACTCGTCTTCCCTACTCGTCTTCCCTACTCGTCTTCCCTACTCGTCTTCCCTACTCGTCTTCCCTACTCGTCTTCCCTACTCGTCTTCCCTACTCGTCTTCCCTACTCGTCTTCCCTACTCGTCTTCCCTACTCGTCTTCCCTACTCGTCTTCCCTACTCGTCTTCCCTACTCGTCTTCCCTACTCGTCTTCCCTACTCGTCTTCCCTACTCGTCTTCCCTACTCGTCTTCCCTACTCGTCTTCCCTACTCGTCTTCCCTACTCGTCTTCCCTACTCGTCTTCCCTACTCGTCTTCCCTACTCGTCTTCCCTACTCGTCTTCCCTACTCGTCTTCCCTACTCGTCTTCCCTACTCGTCTTCCCTACTCGTCTTCCCTACTCGTCTTCCCTACTCGTCTTCCCTACTCGTCTTCCCTACTCGTCTTCCCTACTCGTCTTCCCTACTCGTCTTCCCTACTCGTCTTCCCTACTCGTCTTCCCTACTCGTCTTCCCTACTCGTCTTCCCTACTCGTCTTCCCTACTCGTCTTCCCTACTCGTCTTCCCTACTCGTCTTCCCTACTCGTCTTCCCTACTCGTCTTCCCTACTCGTCTTCCCTACTCGTCTTCCCTACTCGTCTTCCCTACTCGTCTTCCCTACTCGTCTTCCCTACTCGTCTTCCCTACTCGTCTTCCCTACTCGTCTTCCCTACTCGTCTTCCCTACTCGTCTTCCCTACTCGTCTTCCCTACTCGTCTTCCCTACTCGTCTTCCCTACTCGTCTTCCCTACTCGTCTTCCCTACTCGTCTTCCCTACTCGTCTTCCCTACTCGTCTTCCCTACTCGTCTTCCCTACTCGTCTTCCCTACTCGTCTTCCCTACTCGTCTTCCCTACTCGTCTTCCCTACTCGTCTTCCCTACTCGTCTTCCCTACTCGTCTTCCCTACTCGTCTTCCCTACTCGTCTTCCCTACTCGTCTTCCCTACTCGTCTTCCCTACTCGTCTTCCCTACTCGTCTTCCCTACTCGTCTTCCCTACTCGTCTTCCCTACTCGTCTTCCCTACTCGTCTTCCCTACTCGTCTTCCCTACTCGTCTTCCCTACTCGTCTTCCCTACTCGTCTTCCCTACTCGTCTTCCCTACTCGTCTTCCCTACTCGT